AATAAAGAAGGGGGAAAAACTTTATCAAAAGACTATTTCAATAATATCAGCTTAGTGGCTCAGGACAACGTCTATTGCCAAAATTTTGCCATTTTTATAAGAAAGGCAAAGCTTTATCGAAAAGAGAGCTATTAAATATGTCAGCTAGTGGGCTTAAAACAAGTCAATTGCCATGGCTATTTTAATAAGAAAGGGAAAGCTTTATTGAAAGGAAAGCTATTTTAAATATACAGACTAGTGCGCTCAGAGACCCAACGTCTATTGCCATTGCCATTTTTATTAAAAGGAAGAAAGCTTTATCGAAGCAAAGCTATTGAATGTAAATCAGCGTGTGGCTCAGAGACAACGTCCTAGTTTGCTTATAAGCCATTTTTATAAGGAAAGGAGCGGGGGGGCGGGAAGCTTATCTTAAAGAGAGCTATATCAATATATCACACTAGCTGTCAGATAACCAAACGTCTACTGCCCATAGTCATTTTTTATAAGAAGGAGAAAGCTTTATCGAAAGAGAGCTATTGAATTATCGCTAGTGGCAGAGACAACGTCGCTCCATTGCCATTTTTTATAGAGGGAGGGGGGGACAAGCTTTATCGAAAAAGAGAGCTATTAGACTATAGTCAAGCTAGTGGCTCTAAAGAGCACAAAGGTCATTGCCTTGGCCATTTTATTATATTAAAAGAATTAAGGAGCAAAATTTATCGAAAAGAAGAGACCTTTTGAATTATACATCAAGCTATGCTGGCTCAGAGAGACAGCGTAGCATTGCCTTTGCCATGTTATAAGAAAGGGGAAGCTTTAATCGAAAAAGAGCAGCTATTGAGAATAAAATTTATCAGCTAGTGGCCTCAGGGAACAAACGCTATTCACATTGCCAATCACATTTAGATATAGGCAAGTTTCTCTGGCAGGGCCACCTTAGCTAGTATATTCATTAGCTCTCTGTGTTCGGATAAGAGCGTTTGCCCTTTCCTATAAAAAATATGGCGCATTGGCATATAGACGCTGTCTTTGCTGAAGCAACTAAGTGTATACTCTCGAAAGTAAAAACGCGCTACTTTTCGAGAAACTTCCCTTCTCCTATTAAAAATGGCAATGCAAGTAGGACGTTGTCTCTGCAAGGCCACTACGACTGATAAAATTCAATAGCTCTCTTTTCGATAAAAGCTGTTCCCCTTTCCGTCATAAAAATTGGCTCCATGCAAGAGACGTATGTCCCTGACGCCACATAGCTAATAATGATTCAATAGCCTCTCTTCATTCGTATTAAAGCATTGTGCCATTTTCTTCTAATTACAGTGCTACGTAGGCTAGACATAGACAACGCTAACGTGAATACGCTGTCATATAGCCCTATCCAGTCTGATATATTCAGTGCACTTATTAGATACTTTAGTCGTGTTAATCTCTCTATCAGATAACAGTGAGCCTCATCCGGTGTGTTCAGAATGATAATCAGCTAGATGGTAGGCAATGGCAATATGACTGGTGTCTTGACGCAGAGACACTAAGGTCGGATGATACTCACATAAGATCTCTTCTTTTCAGATAAAGCTTCCTCCTCTTCCATAATAATGTGGCCAAGATGGCTACATAAAATAGAGTCACCGATTTGCCGTCTCTTCGAGCTCACGAGAGCTGATATATTTTATAGTGGGAGAAAATGGGCACAGCTTTCATTCTCGGTACGAAATGAGAAATACTGTATTTGCCCTTTTGTAATATATACAGCTAGGTGGCTCAGTGCATATAAACAAATAGGACATATATGACGGTCAACTAGACTCGTTGTTCTATCTTGACTCGCCACTAGATTCGTCGCAATTAATATTTATATATAGCTGAATCCTGGTTAAACGATTTATATCGTTAATAACGAGTATATCTTATTAAAGGCTCATCTCAGATGGCAAAAATTATGATCACATTTGTGCTATCTTGGGCCCTAAGCTGATCAGATGCACAAGATTCGTAATAAGCTCTTTTACATATGAAGCTCTACCATCTCGTATAAACCATTTATTGAAATAAGAAAATGCATTCCGATGGAACAGAGTAGACGTTATCGAGATACCCTTAAGCTTCGAGTATCTAGGCTAGTAAGCTGATATATATTCTCAGAGATACGCTCTCTCTGTGTGTCGATAAGTTTTCCCGGTCTCTCCAGAGATATCAAAAAATGCAGATGCGTCATTGACCGCTCATTACTCTGAGCACACTCACTGACTGATATCTTTTAAGATCTTAAGTATATTCACGTAGGGGATTAAGCCTCCTATCCAGTTTCTCATATAAGTAGAGCTATTAAGAAATATTAATCAGTTCTAGTAAGCTCAGAGACAACGTCCTAGGTTGCTCATTATAAGCATTTTAAAATGGTAGCGTTGAAAGCCCTTGTAAATCAGAAAAAGTACTATAAGTGAACTGAATCATAATGTCTGAGATGAGTAGGACATTTCTTCGTGGAGTGTAGGCGGAGGTGATGTACGTATTTCTCTACTTAAGCCTCGCATTTTATTAAAAGAAGGGAATAAGGCTGGTAAATGTTGCAATTACGACGACAGATGTGAGTAGCTAAGCTCTGAAATTTAAAACCTATATAAGTCGTATATGACTGGTAATTACATAGGCTCTAAGGTCTTTCATATAAAAAAGCTGTTTTCACCCTTTCTTTTAAAAAGAATTAGGCGCATCGTAAAGTGCAAATAGAAAACAGAATAATTAGCAACGTTGCCTTATGCCGATTCCAATGGGTGTTTTGGAGTACCAACATAATGCAAGAGATTTAGTTACCCCATTTTAAATTATCTCAGATAATAGAAAAGAGGATACAATCTCCTTCAACATATATATCACCCTTTACCTTTGTTTAACTCGATAGAGCAGGCACAACGATCTAATTGTCCCCATAGCACATTTTATACATTAAGAACCAGTAAGGTTGCGAAGAAGCGTATATCGAGACAGAGTCGTAGCTACTTTCTGAAGAACACACTCTTCAGTCAGCTTTTATGGGTTCTATATAGTAGTACTCTGTGCTTCTCCCTTTCCAATTCGCATTGCCATTTATATAAAGAAGGTAAAACTTTATCAATATAGAAGAGCTATTCAATCAAAGATTATATCATAGTCTAGTGTTCAGGACAATGAGTCTATTACCACTGCTATTTATAAAGATTAGACCAAGCTTTATCAAAAGAAGTTTATTAATTGTCAGTTAGTGTTTAAAACATTAGTCAATCTCCATGGCCATTATTAATAAGAGAAGAAAATAGTCTTTATCAGTAAAAGAAAGCTTAATACCCACCTAATTATTCAAGCTAGATGGGCTCACAGCACTTCTATGCGGTATAGCCATCTGTTTATAAGAAAAAGCGGAAAGCTTTATCGATAAAGTATGCTATTCGAGGCAGTTATATCAGTTAGTTGGTCAGGACAAAACGTTCTATTGCCATTGCCATTCTGTTTATCAAGAAGGGGAAAGCTTTATCGAAAAGAGAGCATATTAGGAAGTGATATCGCTAGTGAGCTGGCTCAGAGACAACGTCTATTGCCATTGCCATTTTTATAAGAAGGAGAAAGCTTGATCGAAAAGAAAGCTATTCAATATATCAGCTAGTGGCTCAGAGACAACATCTATTGCCATGGCCATTTTTATAAGAAGGAGAAACCTTTATCGAAAGAAAGCTATTGAATATATCAGCTAGTGGCTCAGAGACAACGTCTATTGCCATTGCCATTTTTATAAGAAGGAGAAAGCTTTATCGAAAAGAAAGCTATTCAATATATCAGCTAGTGGCTCAGAGACAACGTCTATTGCCATTGCCATTTTTATAAGAAGGAGAAAGCTTTATAGAAAAGAAAGCTATTGAATATATCAGCTAATGGCTCAGAGACAACGTCTATTGCCATTGCCATTTTTATAAGAAGGAGAAAGCTTTATCGAAAAGAAAGCTATTGAATATATCAGCTAGTGGCTCAGAGACAACGTCTATTGCCATTGCCATTTTTATAAGAAGGAGAAAGCTTGATCGAAAAGAAAGCTATTCAATATATCAGCTAGTGGCTCAGAGACAACATCTATTGCCATGGCCATTTTTATAAGAAGGAGAAAGCTTTATCGAAAGAAAGCTATTGAATATATCAGCTAGTGGCTCAGAGACAACGTCTATTGCCATTGCCATTTTTATAAGAAGGAGAAAGCTTTATCGAAAAGAAAGCTATTCAATATATCAGCTAGTGGCTCAGAGACAACGTCTATTGCCATTGCCATTTTTATAAGAAGGAGAAAGCTTTATAGAAAAGAAAGCTATTGAATATATCAGCTAGTGGCTCAGAGACAACGTCTATTGCCATTGCCATTTTTATAAGAAGGAGAAAGCTTTATCGAAAAGAGAGCTATTAAATATGTCAGCTAGTGACTCAGAGACAACATCTATTGCCATGGCCATTTTTATAAGAAGGAGAAAGCTTTATCGAAAGAAAGCTATTGAATATATCAGCTAGTGGCTCAGAGACAACGTCTATTGCCATTGCCATTTTTATAAGAAGGAGAAAGCTTGATCGAAAAGAAAGCTCTTCAATATATCAGCTAGTGGCTCAGAGACAACATCTATTGCCATGGCCATTTTTATAAGAAGGAGAAAGCTTTATCGAAAGAAAGCTATTGAATATATCAGCTAGTGGCTCAGAGACAACGTCTATTGCCATTGCCATTTTTATAAGAAGGAGAAAGCTTTATCGAAAAGAAAGCTATTCAATATATCAGCTAGTGGCTCAGAGACAACGTCTATTGCCATTGCCATTTTTATAAGAAGGAGAAAGCTTTATCGAAAAGAAAGCTATTCAATATATCAGCTAGTGGCTCAGAGACAACGTCTATTGCCATTGCCATTTTTATAAGAAGGAGAAAGCTTTATAGAAAAGAAAGCTATTGAATATATCAGCTAGTGGCTCAGAGACAACGTTTATTGCCATTGCCATTTTTATAAGAAGGAGAAAGCTTTATCGAAAAGAGAGCTATTCAATATATCAGCTAGTGGCTCAGAGTCAACGTCTATTGCCATGTTAAGAAATTTTTATGTAACATTATCGGCTTCTGTTAACTTGTCTTCATTTAGGTTGCAAATTACCCCTCTTCTTCTTCGAAAGTTACATTTCAAAGCTAGGTATTTGAAAGTTAGGTTAGGTAATTGGTGATAGTTATCAAAGCATTTCAATCGATCCAATAGTGACAAGGCTGTACTTTCATCAGACATTTGGTGTACATTACCAGAGAAAGGTCGGGTGATATTGAGGCTTTCGTGCTACTATATTATAATCAGACAAAAAATTATCGTTTCCTGTCTTTATAATTTTACTTAGCTTCTATTTTTATTATTTAGTAATGGGTTGTTGTTATGCCTTTGGCACTATAATGAATGCTACGAACACAAAAGTAAAGGTTATACTCAAATGAAAGATTGTCATTGTTAAGTCAAAGTGACTTCTCAAAGAGTTCTTAATTTATTTCACCTTGGATTTTTTCTTCTTCTTGTTTTCTTCCCATGATAATTTAGTGGCATATGTAGCAACATTCTTCCCGATGGATTCTGGCCTTCTAGTCCAAGGTTGACTTTTGGCATCAGCTTGGAAATAAAATAAATATTTTCTGTAACTGAAACCGTTGTCACTATATCAACAGGATTAGATGCTTGAACAACTTTATTATGATCCAGTCCTGCAAAAAATGCTTTTGATTAATAAAGGCAATATTAAAGTAATACGAAATACAAAAAAAAACGATTCAAAGAGCCAAAAATGTCTATAAATCATAAAATATTTTTAAACAAAGTTTTTTATGAATTATATTATTTTATGACTTGGTAATTTAGGTATTTTTACATAAAAGCTTAAAAGCAACAACTGGTTTACTTAATCTAGGGTCATAAATCATCTACTCGTCTTATTGCTGGTATTTCAAAAGAAACCTTTAGGAACCCCAACCTCAAGCTGCTGCTTCAATTTCCTTCAACTAACGAATGTGGGTTGCAATATCTAAAGCCCCGGCCAAACGAGCCAACATTTCACCCAACATTTCAGCCAACACGCTTTTTTCGCATGTTGGCTCAAATGTTGGGTCGTTTGGCCACCATGTTGGGTCACCCAACATTGTTGGGAAAGATGTTGGCTGAATTGTTGGGTCGATTTGAAACTGGTCAAAAATGTTGGCGGCTGTTGGATGGTAATTAAAATAATCCCTATTGTTCAAGGTGCTGTTTTGCGTTGTTGGCTCGTTTGGCCGGGTTGCCCAACATTTGTTGGCTTCACGCAAGCGCTGTAAACAACTTTTAAAAGTGAATAGCGCTGCGCGCCAAGCTCGAGTTCGTGAAGCAGAGATCAAAATTTTAAGATGAAGAGCGTAGATTTGGACGACTGAAGAATATTGGATAATGGAAGAGTACGAAGAAAGAGATTTAGTGAGTAAAGATTAGTACGACGAGGCCGTAAAGGAGATTAATAGGGGTTTGAGGAAAAGAAAAGCGTTGCTTTCAAGATCAGGGATGGCAGGCTTAGGTTGTCTTGGACTCAATCCGAGTATCCCAGAAACGGTTGTGCTAAATGTTGGGTGAATTGTTGGATCGTTTGGCCAGCCGTCCTAAAAACTCCCAATATTATTGGGAAAGATGTTGGGTTAAATGTTGGGCGAAATGTTGACTCGTTTGGCCAGGGCTTAATGATCACTAGGACAGAAAAAAGAAGTTTTTGTTTCATCTGTAGGCTGAGAAGCAAAATCTTATTCAAGCTAAAGAAGTACATTAATATCAGAGTCATCATGAGATATGTAGAACTGATGTTTTATTAATGCAAAACTTCTGTTCAGATTGCAAAAATTAAGAAAAATAAATAAATAACGAAGTTAACTTAACAATGAATTATCTTGCAAAATTATAAATGCTATTTCACTAGGATGTGCATCTACGACACAAAAACAAGAATTGAAAATTAATTGATTATTCTATCAAAATAAAACAAATTATAGTGAAAAGATTCCATAAGAACAAGACTGTTCACTATCCAAGTTGTATTTAAAAGAGAAAAATCAACGAGTGATAATGACTATTGAAAATTGAATTTGAGGGCATCAAATATGCCTCGTAATACGACAGGCCATTCGTTATTTATAAGACCAGATTTATATAAATTTAGAAAGAGACCATAAGCCTCAAAGATCCAGAATAAACCTCATCACAAACGATAGTATTGCATTCTATAGACTGTAGCAATTGCTAAAACAACTATCTAGCTTATAGGATAAACTAGTTTCTAGTCTATAATATCAAGCACAAATATCTTGATTTTCTTTTCAAGGCAACCAATAGAGTAGGAATTGTCATTGAGAATTCAATAAAGCTTCGTACCTGAAATTAAAGTTTGCATCACCGTTATGGATGCTTGATCAACGCGACATTGCTGAATGGAACTGGATAAAACAAGCAGAGGTACACGGTTCTTCCCACTGATGTGTGAAGCTTCCTTCTTGGAATAGCGTAGACAACGTAAAGTTTCATTCTCCACAGGAACTCTGCACTATTCTCTTGCCTCTATTCTCTAGTGACAACACCCAGTGTCTTAAAACACGTTTGTATATCTTTTACCTCCAAGCTAGTAACAAGGAAATGCAAGTAAATGCCTCTCGCAAATGAATTGTATTAATATATTGAATTGAATGCTATCATAAGCTTCTTCTTTCACAATGGTCTCTAAGTTAATAACACACAAACCATTTCTCATATACGCATTGTAAGTTTATGGTCAATAAGCTTTCTTTATTAACCAATTTTAATATCAATGTAGACCTATAAAATAACCATGTACCAAAAACAAACTGCTTTACATCCAAATACGATGAATGGCTACACTCAAGATAATGCAAGAGGAAAATTATTGAAAAATTAGTGGAATTGGAATCTAAGGCCGCAAACAGACATCCGGCTCATCTCTGCTGCAGTCACTTCGAATTCAATATAACAAGAAAGAAGATATTCACAACATAATTTAAGGCATCGGCACATTTACGACATTGACCTTTACAAACTGCAAGTATTAACAAGCTTGGACAATATTTAGAAGTTGTAAATTATCGATCTATATACCTATATGTGGACAGCATGTGAATGGAGCCTCGTTACGAAGTGGTGATATTGTACTTACCCACCGTCAGTAAAAAGGAACTCTACAGGTGCATAAAGAGCTTCTCGTTGTCCCAAATCGTACTTTTCTTCCAACAAAAATGCAGCTGATAGCCAGCCTTCCTCAAGATCCCTAAAATATGCAAACAACGAATACACGATTGGATCTTGCGAAGTACATAAGGAAGTTTTGCATTGGAATGAGTAGAAACACAGACCATCATTTTATTAGCATTCTTTAAAGAAGGAAGGAAAGTTCGTATGATGAAGGAAGGAAGGAAGGTTCGTATGTTTTAATCACCTTGCCTCCTGAAAGTTTAAATCTTGTGCAACCGAATTGGTGATTACCCCCACTTGGTGATTTCAGATGCTAACGCAAAGAGGAACTAGGCAAGGAAATTTCTCCTTATAGCAATCAATATTATTCATCTGATAAAAAGGCACGTAAGAGAGAAAATAAGAAATAAGATTCAAAGTGAGCTTCCAAAAATGGAATGTTTTATCTTGGGAAACATTCACTTAAGGGGAAATTAAATTTTAAAAAAAACATGGGACATTTGGAATAACAAGCGGGAATCGAAAAGAATAATGAGGCAAGACAAATCAATTTAGATAATTTTCTTTCCTTGCTGTTCAGAGAATTATACTTGTCATCTTGTTTATATCAACTGATATCCATACCTATAATAAGATTATCAATAACTCCAATAGTAAAAAGCGTGGTTACACTATAACACGACGAGTATGCTGAGCCAGAGAGTAAATTAATTGGTTCGCAGTAGTTTCAGATTACTTTCAACAAGATTAACAACAAAACAATTGTAAGTAACTGCAAAAGATGTAGGTACTTGAGTCAATCATGATTGCAGAGATTAATGCCTGCCAACGAAAAAAGACCGCGCACATTTCAAAATGCCTTTGAAAATTGATTTACATAATTTCTAACTTGTTACCTTTTCCTAGTTCCCCCGGCGTTTTGCTTGCACAAATTCACACAAGAGTCGAAGATGTTTTTTCAAGACTCTGCCAAATCCATGAGAATGTTCCTCGTCTTTTTTTTTAAGACCCTCCTTAACTGTGCTCATGACATCCTGCTTTCGGTTCAAGTTTGAAATAACATCCTTTAGATTTTTGGATTTCAAGCTCTAGAGATATGCATTCGTGCGAACGGATGATCACGATGACTGCAAACTGAATTTCAACATCTGTTTTCTGCAAATCAAACACAGAGATATAAGTATTAGAGACTGTAATACAACATACCAAAAATACCAATATACCAATATTACCAAAAAGCAGGATGGTTTTATAATGAAAAACCGTTTCTACTGACTACAGGATCACTAAAAAGGAACCGAAATAATTCATTATTTTTCAACTCGCTGACATTAGACGAGGAACAAAAATGGCTACAAAAGCAGGTAAATAGTCGATCAAATTCTACACAACATGCAAGGTTCAGACATTTACTTCTGTTTGTGACGAAAAAGTATAAAAAGGAAGGGAAAAACGAAATATATTATAATTAAAGAATAAAATCTGGGATTTAGAATTTACCACATCTTTATGAAAAATATATATTTAAGCCAACATGCGTAGAATATGTGTTATGTGAATAAATGATTTGAAGTAGAATCACATATGCCAGAGATTTCCTTAAAAAATTAATGATGCGTATTCATCAAGACTCGATATTTGCTTCAACTGATATACAAAACAACAACGGTGGCAGGGAAGCTAGTGGCGTTTTTATATGTAGAACATCATAGGAGATGGACAGTAATATAATATATTCAAGGTATGTATGTGAAAACAATTTCTATCATAATTCAAATTATCAATCTGTTAGCATTATATTTCAAAGCGACTTGAAAAGCAAGTACTTTCAGTCCTTGGTTCAGTAATCGTCCCCTCTCTCCTTGCTTCGCAAAGCTTCTGACATTTTAAAAGCAACTGGTTGGATTCCAGTAATCTGGTAGTTGCAGTGGTGTCAAGCAGGCTATCAAAATCCTGTTAAGATTTGAAGGCAAATACAGTGACTCCAGAAAATACAGCATAGGCACATAAGGCATTAGCTGACTTGAAACTTATTTGACGTTTTTTTCAAACAATTTTACACATAAAACTAATATTCCAATTAATTAGATAAGTAAATGCTATTTTAACAAGTTTTACGTACCAAAGCTATCTAATTTCAAAATTGTTTTCTATATAAAACTTTCATCCCGGCTAAATTAATTCTGATTTTTACCGCGAGCAAACGTAAATGTACAAATGTTAGTGGGCAAACATCCTTATGTTTGAATGATTCCTTCAGCACTTCTTCAAAAGTATAAGACAAATGTTGAACAAGTCCATATTCATGTTTCCTTTCTCCATTTCTTGAAGGCTTTGTAGATTTTGACTCATACAAATGACTAACCCATTTGACTTCCAATCTCCCCCATTTTGTCTTGCTGACATAACAAACAACTGCTTTTATTTTTGTCGTCAGTTGTTTCTGAGTTCGACCAAGACGTGCTTTCTGTTTGCAATAGAGATAATTGTAACAGTATTGAATTCACCGATGTATTGACAAACATAAACCAAGGGTGAGCTGTGCTATAAGCCAAAGAAATAACATATCAAGCAAGCCCAATATCAAAACAGCTTAGGAACAACGATAAATATCTCGGAGACTCAGATCAATTGAAAATCACAAATGAGCATAATCTAAATAATAGATTTCTTCTTTAGTACTTTCACAAGAAACTGGTAAAAAGCAAGCAGTAGGTATTTCGTCATTAGAAATGGCTTAATCCCCAAAGGAAGGATGCATTTCTAGTCTTAATCATTATGTATAAGTAGTGGCAACATTCTGATGACGTAGCAACAACAAGGCATAAAATTAAATTTAACAGATCAGTAGAGAGTTTAAATTGAGAAACACAACAAACTGAGAAAATTACGTTCAATAAATAGAACTTCCCACAACAAGTCAAATCCTTTTTTAACAAATAAGTTTTAATACCTACTTGGCTGACATATATAGTCGTTTTCAAAACAATAACCTACAAAATAACTTACAGACGAAGTAACTGACTAACCTGGCACTTTATTAGATTTTCGTTGTGAGCAGAATTTCCATTTCACCGGCATTGCAAAACTTAATTCCAAATGCTACTAGACCGTCAAAAAAGAAGCCTATTCTCCATAATAGCAGCTTCTGCTGCCAATCTTTATTGATTTCTGGTAGTTCTCGAGCATCTTGAAAACGATTCCATCAAATTGATGCAAAAAATCACCTCCACAATTTGAAACCCCACGAAAAATTACGAAAATTATTGCAAGCCAACAAACTTTTAGATACATAATGTCGTCAATTCGTCATAAAAACGACAACCCTAAAAGTCTTGTCGTCCAGTAGCTTCTGGCAGTATTAAATCGATTCTGTCTTACAGTTGAGAATATATTCCCCTAAAAAATTCGAGAAATTTTGCAACCCTATAGACTTGCTTTTTAAGAAAAATCGATAGTCATTTAAAGTAATCAACTCTCCAAAAAAACAGTCGCCTCTACCAATCTAACTTTATTTGCAGTGGCTTCAGTTCACATCGAATCGATTTTGTCTAATATTGGTGCCAGAAAATCATCTCAAAAATTTGACAATTTTTGCACGAAACTACACTTGCTTTCTTAGAAAAATCAGTAGTCATTATATGTCGCCAATTCTCCATAAAACAGCTTCGTCTCACAATCTACATTGATTTCGAGCGGTTTTATCACATCAAATGGGTTCTGTCTAATTTTGCAACAACAAATTCCCCTTCAAAATTGACGGACATAAAAAGTGGTAAACAGAAGACTGCGTCCATTGCCAATCCTTATTGATTTCTGGTTGTTTTTTATTATATTGTAACGATTCCGTCTGCTTTTGGAGAAAAAATCCCCTCCAAAATATGACCATGTTTGCAAGCCTAGAGTCGTGCTTTCTTCGCAAAAAATCGAGTGTCCTTAAGAGTCATAAATTCTTCATAAGAACAGCTTCCATTGCCAATCCTGATAAATCTCTGATCATATTGCAATTTTGGAGAAAAATACCTCAAAAACTTGACCATTTTTGCACGCCTAAAGACTTCGTTTTTACAAAAAATTGGCATTAAATGGAAAGTTGCTGTTTTTTCTTAAAAACGGCCTCTGCCAATCTCTGTTGATTTCTTGCAGTTTCTGGTCATATTGAATTGGTTTTGACTGACTTCAAAACTGCAGGGCTTAAGTTTTTTTCAGAGGATGTACAATGTCATACGCAAGTCGAAAAAGCTGCGTACGAG